AATGTTTGCAAATAGTTTTTCTCATTCTGTAGGTTGTCCTTTTGCTTTCTTGCTATCTTCTTTTGCCATGGAGATGAGTTTTCTTGGAATGCAGTCTCATTTCTTTCCTTTTGCTTTTGTTGCTTGTGCTTTAGGTGTCATACGCAAAAAATCTTCACCAAGACCCAAGTCAAGAAGCATCATTCCTGTGTTTTCTTACAAGAGTTTCATGGTTGCAGGACTCATATTTAAGTCTTTACTCCATTTCAAGTTAATTTTTGTGACTGGGATAAGATACTTGTCTAGTTCAGTTCTTTCCCACTTGAATATCTGTGTAGTTAGCACTGCTTATTGAAGTTTTCTTAGCTTTTCTTAATCGAATATTTCCGGCAGCCTTGTCAAATAGTAGTTGATCTAATATTGTTCCATTTATTTTGGGCTCTAGTTCTGGTGCGTTGGTCTGTTTCCCTTCCAATACCATATTGGTTTGATGGCTAGCTTGATTATACTCCTAGAAATCAGTGTGTTTCCTACCAATTAGTTTTTCTTTTTCAGGATTTGTTTGGTTATTTGGGGTCTTTTGTGGGTTCATAGAAATTTCAGGATTGTCTTCTCTAATTATGTAAAAAAAAAAAAAACCACTGCAATTTCCATAACGATTGCATTGACTATAAAGATGGCGTTTTATAAGTACGGACATTTTAAGAACAGTAGTCTTTCCAGTCCATGAAAATGGGATACTATTCCACCTATTTTTGTCTTAGATTTCATTTATCAGTTGTTATATTGGAGTTTTCAGAAGAGATCTTTGACCTGTTCAAATTTATTCCTAAGTATTTTATTGCTTTTGATGCTGCTGTAAATGCGATCAGTTTATTTCCTTTTCAGGAAACTCATTGCTTGTGTATAGAAATGGTGTTGATTTTGTTGTGTGCTGATTTCATATCCTGCAACTTTCATTGATTAGAGATAGGAGTTCTTTGAGTCTTCGATTTTTGTCTCTAAAATCATGAATGTGTTTAATAGACCTGAAAATGATTATGTATGTGTGTAAATATTAGAATTTTCTATATATAATATGTCCCCTGCCAAGAGACATACTTTTATTCCTTCTACACAATTGGGTGAATTTTTTTTATTATGTACTTTTTCTGCTTTCGCTTCCAGCGATATGTTGAGTAGATGTGAAAGAATGAATCCTTGCCTTTTCCTGAGTGAAAAGGAAAATCTTTGTTTTCGCAGTTGAGTATCATGTTTGCTTTGGTCTTTACACATATGACCTTTATGATGTTGAGGTACTTTACTTCTCTTGCCTCTTTGTTGACTGTTTCTATCTTTAAAAAATGTTGAACTTCTCAAAAGCCTTGTCCACCTCATTAGAGATAATCAGGTATTTTTCTTCCTGTAGTCCTTTAATGTGGTGTAGTGTGATGGCTGATTATTTGTATTCTATGGTGAAACATTCTCTCTATCAGGAATGACTCCCGCGTTGTTCTGATGCCTGAGCCTGCACTGTGCCCTCCGATTGTCTGCTTGCATTTCTTGAGGGATTTTGCATCATCAGAAGTGTCGGGGCACTTTCTGTTCTGGTTGCGTCTTTCTCTGGCTCTGGTGTCAGTGTCATGTTGACCTCACAGGAAAACATTGGGAAATATTCCCTCCTTTTAAGTTTAGGAATTTTTAGTGAGAAAGGGTGTTAATTTTTCTGTCAGTGTTTAATAGGATTTGTCAGTGAAGCCATCTGCACTGCAAAAGGGCTCCTTTGTGAACTTATGGGCACTGCTTTTAATCTCTTTTTCTAGTATATTCATATATTTATGTCTTCAAGATTCAATTTCAGTCTTGGTACATTGTTTTGGAATTTACCCATTTGTTCTACGTATCCAGTTTTTTGTCATGTGATTTTTCTACAAAAATCTCCATTGTCCATTCTTATTTTGCATCAGTTGTATTGTCTCATCTTTAACCTGATTTGTGTTAAGTCTTCTGCAGTTTATTGTTTCTAATTTAAACGAGGATTCTCAGTATTAATTTTTTTAAGAAACCAGTACTAGATTCATTGAGTATTTTTTCTTCCTATTTATTTTGTTTTCCATTTCATTTACCTCTGCCCTAGTTTTCTTTATTTATTGTTGTAGATTTGGACTTAGTTATTTTTTCTAGTTCCTGATGTACAAATTTAGGTTGTTTGGAGATGTTTCTCATTGATTAATGTAAGGACTTATTGCTATAAAAAAATTTCCCTTGTTTAATATTGGTTTCTCTCCATCCTGTATGTTTTGGTATGGAGTTTCTTTGCTTTCACTTGTCTGAAGATGTGTTAAACTTTCCTTGCCTATGTCATCTCTGAAAATTGGTGGTGTAGGAGTGCTCTTATTTACTGCAGTTTTTTTAACTTTCCCTTTTCTGTTATGTTTCTAGTTTCGATCCATCATGGTCAGAAATGACAGTTTTTTAAAAATAATTTGAAATATATACCTCTCTATCCCTTTCTGCTGTTTCACCCACAAAGGTCGCCCCTAACCCCCCCTGCAAAGCATATCAGTAGTCCGTTGTCTCCATTTTTTGGTCTACTTCTGTTGTGTTTCCTGCATTCCACATATAAGTAAAATCCTAAGGTCACTGTCTTTCTCTGTCTGGCTTACTAGTTAGCATAATGCCCTCTTCATCCATCCATGTTGCTGCAAATGGCAAGATTACTTTTTTATAGCTGAGTTAATATTCCATTATAAATACACTACCTTTTCATCCATTCATTTATTGATGGACGTAGGTTGCTTCCATAGCTTGGTTATTCTGAATGATGCTGCAATAAACCAACACTCTGCATAACAGTCTTTTCAACATGGTGATTTTCTCATCTTTTGTAGATTCCCAGTAGTGAAATAACTGTTAAGTGTTTTTTATCTTTAGTTTTTGGGAACTCTCCTTACTGTTTTCTGTAGTGCTTACACCAATTTACAATTCCACCGCAGTGTAGGTGGGTTCCCTTCCCCCACATCCTCACCACCACTGACTGGTATGTCAGGTATCTTTGGTATCTTTGATGTTGGCCATTCTGACTAGAGTGAGGTGACAGCGCTGATGATTAGTGAAGTTGAGCAACTTTTCATGTATCTTTTTTGTGAAAAAGTCTATTCAGGTTCTGTGACCATTCTCTAGTTGGAATATTTCTTTTATTGTCCTTGATTTGTGTGAGTTCATTCTATATTTTGGATATTAGCCCCATAGGAAATAAAAACATTTGCGAATACATAATCTTCCCGAGGACATTTTCCTTTAATTTTGTTGAACTTTTTCCTTTTGCTGCTTAGAACCTTTAAGTCATCCTGCTTTTTTATTTTCCGTTTGTTTTCCCTTGCCTGGAGATAACATGCCAAGAACAAAAGTTAGTAATGTTTACATTGAAGAGTTAACTGACCTGTTATCTTCTAGAAGTTTTATGGTTTCTGGTCATATATTTGAGCATTTAATCCAATTTGAGTTTATATTTTGAATGGTATAAACCAATGATGTAGGTTTATCCTTTTGCATGTACTGTCCAGGTCTCACCACAGCATCTATTGAAGAGACTCTCTTCCCCGTTGTATATTCTTGCTTCTTTTGTATACGAATCCACCATGTAGGTATCAGTTAGTTACAGGATGTAAGAAAAGCATAGGGAATATTGTCAATAAATACTCTAGTTGGTTTGGTGACTGATGGAAACTGCACTGTCATTGTGAATTTAGTTTTGTCTATAATTGTCAAATTAGTCTATTGTACACCTGAAATCAGTGTAATATTGCATATCAACTGTACTTCGGTAAAAATAACAAATAAATAAATGATACTTTGTAGGTGTACATTGTCCTAAAATTACTTAGACTTGTTTTTTGGGCTGATGTGTCATCTGTCCTCCGTCTTGTGCCATTTGACGTTTAGAACATTGTTTTTTCTGCCATTTGGTGATGGTTCTGCATGTTCATTATAAACAGTTACCCTCTTGTGTTTTTCAAGTCCTCTGTCTCCTTCCTGATTTTCCTCTAGGTGTTCTATCCATTATTTGAAGTGGGATATTGAATTTTCCTCTTGTTATTTTGCTGCTAATTTTTAACACTGTCACTGTTTGTTTCCTTTATGTAGGAGCTCTGATGTTGGATGAAACAATATTTCAGTAGTTTTCTATGCATCTCATTCATCAGCTCATGGCGGACATTGTGGGCCATGATGGTGTCTCACTCAGTCCACTGTGACTGAAATGGCCTCTCCTGCCGTCTCACGGTCGCCTTTTGTATTGACTGTCATTTTCCATCTTTTTCACTGTCAGCCACTGTGTTTCTAGATCTCAAGTGAGTCTCTGGTACACGACATGCAGGTGAGCCTTGTCTTTTTAATCCACACAGCCTCTCTTCCTCTTTAATGGGAGTTCAGTCCCATTAAACTTAATTAATGAATGGGAATCAAGCGTTGTCCATTGCCTTTCTGTAAAAGTTACTCTGTGTGTGTTCTGGGTATCTTTGACATATGTTCTTCTGTCTCTGCCTTCTTTGTGTTTAGTGTTTTTTCTTCTGTTCATGCTCTCTTTTTCTTATTTCCCTTTGAATGTCTTCCATGTGTATTTTCTTGGGTATTACATAAAACGTTAAATTTGTAACAATCTATAGATGGGGGCAATTTCAGGTAGTAAAACTACTCCTGTATATGTGCTGCTCATCACTTCATGCTATTGATGGCACATTGTATCTTACTGTAAATCCATGAAGTGATTCATCAGTATTAAACTCCATGCCAGTACTAAAAAAGTATTTTCTGCTCAAATATGACAGTATTAAAAGTTTCAATATACATGTGTGTACTTGCCATCAGCAGAGTGACTTTTGAATTGAACTATAGTTAATATAAAATGCTACTCACAATTGTGTACATTACTAAATGTTCAGTCCAATGCTGTGTTATAGATACAATAAAATTTCACATAGATTTTTAAAGTATATGTACCTGATTCTTCTGGGTTAATTTGATCCTTTTACACATTTCAGCACTTTCTTCTCATTACAAAAAAGGATTGTTACTTCAGCAAGTCATAAAAGACTCATTCCGAAGAGTGCTCCTGGGAAGATCTGGGAGCCGTGACCCTGGGGACTCACACCTGAGGACACACAGGGACAGTGCAGCTGAGCATGGAGGGCAGGATGGCCATCACGAAGGAATGCAGAGTCACGGGAGGAACCCCCGGGACAAGCCTGTCCCTGTCTGTGGGGACCCGCAGCCTGGGGTGACTCAGGACAAAACCCAGTTTAATTCAGTTACTGTTGCAGCACAATGTTTTTCTGTGAGTAAATGGCATCATCCTGTTTTGAAACATAACTTTTCTCAGAAAGAAAATTTGAAAAATCTGAAAATGGAGGCCTGCCATGGTCCAAATAATCATTTCAATCATTTAAAATACAGCAGTGGATTAGATACTCAGTCACTTAATTCTGAGGACCAAAGATATAATGAAGAAAAAATATGTAAGTATGTTGAAATAGACAATTCCTTGATGAAGGATGTATTATTCCATGAACAAGTAATTCCCACTCATGCTAAAGCCTACAGTTTTGATAACTGTCAGAGAGAGAGTGTCTACCCAGCATTGCTTAATGAATATCAGTGCATAGACAACGAGAGAGAACCTCACTTGTGTAATAAAAGTAAGCATGCCTTTAGGAAGGGCTCTATATTTAAAAATTGCCAAGGTATTTACATTCAAGAAGGAACATGTCAATCTAATGATCCTGGAATAAATGATAACAGAGGACCACTCCATAGAAAACATCAGAGAATTCAGATTCCAGAAAACCATTACCCATGTAGTAAATATAGACAAGTCTTCAAGGAATGGTCAAATGTTATCATATATCAGGGTATCCACATTGGAGATAATCCTTACAAATATAAGGAATGTGGCAAAACTTTTAATCACTTCTCAAAAGTGATTAAACATCAGAGAATTTACACTGGTGAGAAAGCTTGTAAAAGTGAAGAATATGGGAAAGCCTTTAGTGAATTCTCCCATCTGAACTGTTATGAAAGTATTCATACTGGAAAGCAACCATGCAAATGTAAAGAATGCAGCAGATCCTTCACTTGTTCCTCAATTGTAACTGCACATGAAAGAATGCATATGGGAGAAAAACCTTACAAGTGTAAAGAATGTGGAAAAGCCTTTAAGTGGGACTCACACCTTAGTCAGCATCAGAGAATTCATTCTGCAGAAGTACCTAACAAATATAAAGAGTGCAGCAAATTCTTTTCTTTCTCAGGACTTAATATGCATGAGAGAAATTTTGGTGGAGAGAAGCTTCACAAATGTAAGGAATGTGGCAAAACCTTTAAGCGGGGCTCATACCTTACTTGGCATCAGAGAATTCATTCTGGAGAGAAACCTTACAAATGTCAAGAATGCGGCAAATCCTTTATTCGTGCCTCAAGTCTTTATGTGCATCGTAGAACTCATACCGGAGAGAAACCTTACAAGTGTAAGGAATGTGGAAAAGGCTTTAAGCACAACTCACACCGTAATCGACATCAGAGAATTCATTCTGGACAGAAACCTTTCAGATGTGAGCAATGCAACAATTCCTTTACGTCTTCCTCAAGTCTTACTGTGCACCAGAGAATTCATACAGGAGAGAAGCCTTACAAGTGTAAGGAATGTGGGAAATCCTTCACTTATTCCTCCAGTCTTACTGTGCATAAGAGAATTCATACTGGAGAGAAGCCTTACAAGTGTAAGGAATGTGGAAAAGCCTTCATTTCTTCCTCACATCTTAATATGCATGAGAGAGTTCATACTGAAGAAAAGCCTTGCAAATGTAAAGAGTGTGGAAAAGCCTTTAAGCGGGGCTCATATCTTACTCAGCATCAGAGAATTCATTCTCGACAGACACCTAACAAATGTAAAGAACACAGGAAGTTCTTTAGTTCCTTAGATCCTCATGTGCATGAGAGAACACCTAGTGCAGAGAACTCTCGCAACTGTAAGCAATGTGGCAAAGCCTTTAAGTGGGGCTCACACCTTAATCGACATCAGAGAATTCATTCTGGAGAGAAACCTTACAAGTGTAAAGAATGCAGCAAATCGTTTACTCGTTCCTCAGGTCTTTATGTGCATAATAGAATTCATACAGGAGAAAAACCTTACAAGTGTAAAGAATGTGGCAAAGCCTTCATTTCTTCCTCAAGTCTTAGTATGCATGAGAGAATTCATACTGGAGAGAAGCTTTACAAGTGTAAAGAATGTAACAAATCCTTCATTTCTTCCTCAAATCTTAGTATGCATGAGAGAACTCATACTGGAGAGAAGTCTTACAAGTGTAAAGAATGTGGAAAAGCCTTTAAGTGGAAGTCAGACCTTAATCGACATCGGAGAATTCATACAGGAGAGAAACCTTATCAGTGCTAAGAATGCGGGAAACCCTTTACAGTACATGTCACTCAAATCTTAAAGTTCATGAGAGAGTTCATAGTGGGGAGAAGCCTTGCAATTGCAGAGAATGTGCAAAAGCCTTTAGTGATTCATTAAGTGTAAATAAACACAAGAATATCCATGCAGGAGTAAAGTCTTAAAAGTGTAAAGAATGTAACAAAGCATTTACCTAGTCCTCTTCCTTACTCGACATCAGAGAGTTCATTCTGGACAAAACCTTAGAAACGTAAGGAATTCAGGAAATGTTTTTCATGTCTTCAAAACTTACACTTCCTCAGAGAATACATACTGGAGAGAAACTGAAGAAACACAAGGAATGTTTCAAAACCTTTAAGCGGTGCTCAAGCCTTACTGCATGGCAGAAAGCTCATACTAGAGAGAATATGATATATCCACTGATGCAAGAAAGACTCTTGGGTAAACTATAAATGTAGGGAGTATGAAAGTGTTCAGATGGGAGAAAAAATGTACAAATTTGAATACAGTGGGAAAGCTGTCAACTGTTCCTCACACAGAGTGTGTGGGAGAATTCATAGTGGAGAGAAAACATAACCAGTATCAGTAGTATGGAAACACCATTGCCCAAGACATATACCTTAAAAATGAGTGTCTTCATAAAAGACACTTTACAGGTACAAAATAAGCTGGAAAATGTTTGAGTGAAAATCTAAATTAGCCAGGAAAGACTTACATAATACTAAGACACCAAATTTTTTAGAAGTTACTCTCAAGAGTATTTTTTATTGGAATGACCCAAATTAATAGCGATCAGGTTATTGACTTCATAATTTGTGTAAGTCTAAAAGGGGATGTTTGCATAGTACAGTGCCCTCCACCCCTACCCCAACTCCAGATGCCAGTTTCAGGCCCCAGGCAGTTAACCTGTGCTTCTGACCTACAGGCTACACATTAGAGTTTCCCATGACCTCCCCTTCGGTTTTGATTAATTTGCTAATGTGACTCACATAACAGGAATATTTATGTTTATCAGTTTAGTGAGGGAATACCATAAAGGATATAAGTTAACAAAAGGATGAAGGGAGACACAGGGCAAGGTCCCAAATAAAGGGGCATCTATCATGGAGTTTGGGGCCTGACTCAATGTAAAGTGGAGGTGGTTTTGTTCCCCAAGCTTAGAATCCCTTTCAGCCTGAAAAGCAGGATCCAAGAGAACACAGCATCAAGCTGTTCTCAGGGGTTTTGTGATGGCTTTATTCTATAGCCATGACTGATAAATTATTGTCCATTGTCTGGATCAACCTGCAGCCCCCGCCTTTGGGTGGGGGTCCAAGTGTCTCATTAAGATGACAAGACACTTGTTTCACCTTTAAGACTATTCAGCATTTTCAGGAACTGTGGATAAAGACCAAATATACCTGGGAAATATATATTTCTTTATGCGAATGATCAAATATGTATTTTTTCATCAGTCATTATATCACAGTCTCCTTCCCCCTTGGTCTTCAAATACAGTTTCTGTACAGCAAAATGATCATGCCTGTCCAAGCACTTATATCTGGAATGGCATTTACACAACAAATAAAACAGTGGGACCAATGCAAATAGGCCTAAAATTTGATGAAGCCCGTGTGGGGTGGACACAGATTTAAAGAGACAACTCATTTGTCCTGTACAGTCTTATGACCATAGACCATATATTCAACCAGAGTAATGTAACTCTGGCTTGCAGACTGTAATTCAGTGTCATGTTTCCAAAAGCACAGGTGGTCTTCACGATGGTTACCTGGTAGCTTTTGCTAGGAGATAATTAATACTGTTCTGTTGCTCTGAGCCTCTCTTGCAGCACTAGTTAAGTCGGGTTTCCCTCATTGCATAACCCACTTATCCATCCCTTTACCAGCTGTAATTTCTCACCCTCTCCACTTGTCATGTACTTTACCCAGACTTTTCCCCATGTGAAAGGGATATTAAGTTCAGCTACTGTGGTGGTCCCAATTGCTGACAGCAATATACTAGTCCCACAAGTGCCTCCCCTGCCATCCTCTCCAACTCACAGAAGATAGGGGCAGAGCTAGCGGTGTCTGCCACTAGGTTGCACAGTGTATCTCACTGTCAGCCCCAGCTTGGTCAGATGGTGCAATGGCACAGGCCACCCCATCAGGCCCTTAAGAATCCTGAGAGTTAAGGGTAAGGTTACAGATTCTTGCTTAGTAACCTTCCTGCTCCTCATAAACACAGTTGCAGCCCTGGACCTGGGATCACTGCATCTAGTAGGAAAAAAGCTAGTTGTGCTGACGTGGTAAAGAATAGTTGCACTAGCATCTTTCCCCACCTCCTTTTCCCCAGATTCCCCAGAAAACTGGAAGATTCTATCCTGTGGGGACCCTCCTTTAGCTATGTCATGTTAAGGATGAGCATGTATACTCTTTGAGGCTTGTAAGTCAGCCCTTCATGTCTTTATCTCCCCGTTTTAGACGGTGAAAGTTTCAACTGCCCTTTCCATTTTTATTAAACTATTCTGAGGATTATATGCAGCATGATATGTCCACCTGATGTGATGTTTCTTGGCCCCTGCTGGACGCCATGGGCCATAAAGCATGTCCCTGGTCTGAAGAGATGTAACTTGCTGGTCTGAGTTGGCATAGTATCTTTTGTTCCAGTCGTTTAATGGTATTTTGAACATTGCAAAGTCTAGTCAAGAATAATCGTCTGTCCCAGTTAGGACCTACTAATTGGCCTTGGCCAGTGTGATCTACTTGGCCAGATAAGTGTGGGGCCTTCCCTATGGGGAATTTTCCCATAGCCAACTGCAGCCTTTGACTGTCTTGTTGACAGAACAGTTCTTGTTGCCATTCTGTGCCTGACAGTGTACAGGAAAAATATGTCTAGATTCAGCCCATTTCTGCATTGCTGCAGTTCCCCCACGCCCACTCATCTCATGGACCCAGGTGGGCACTTCAAGGGAGCGCACCCACAGGTCCACTTGATGGTCATAATCACCTGATCCTGTGTCAGGTCCCTTTCCTGTCTCTGACCCGCAGATGAGGGAAGAGACGCGATTGTTCGTCGAAGATCTTAAGGACCAGCCAGGGGACTCAAGGCGTGACAGCGCAAGAGTCGTGCCGAGAAGGCATCTCTCATATTTATTGATGAAATGGTTGTTAACAACAATATTGGGGTTTCCATGCACAATCATTAAGTTCAACTCTCAACAGTTTCACTTTCTGAAGGATAACGAACAAATCCTCATGGTGAACGAACACAGAAACTCTTTCTGTCTTGGCTACTGTTTCTGTCTTGACTACAATCATGAACCATAAACAAACCATCAAGGCAAAAGTGCTCATACATATGATTTTCATACTTTATATATAAATTCCATATAATTCCCACATCCTGGAATGGGGTTCTTATGGGCATCCACATGTCCTCCTTTAATGTATGTAACAGAGCCATTAGTTACAGCCTGGGTCAGTAAAAATCTAAACATAGGGCGTTTAATCATTGTTCAATTCTCTCATCACTGCCAGGAGCACAGCATGTACTTCTGCCCACTGAGCTGATTTAGTCTTAACCTTCCTGAACTACTCCTGCCATGCGCTGGTCTTGAGCAGGTTTCCAAACAGGATATTGTCCGTTCATCTTGGAACTGCCATCTGTAATCCCAGGAGCTCTTTGCTGTTCAGGTGAGACCTATTCACAGGGCACAGCCCATGTAGCGGTTCTGGCAGCTCATCGGGGGCTCCAGGTTGGTCCTGGACAAAGAGGCTGGTTGCTAGTGGACACAGTGTGGGCCTCCTCATACCCTTGCCACTGCCACCTGTATGAACCATTACCTTTTTAATATGGAAGTGTGGGCCCTGCCTGCCTTATGAGAATGTTTCTCTGGTATCATCCAAGACAAGCATCTCCGGCTCCAAGACTTACGTCCTTTAGTCCTTGAGGAGGTCTCAGTGCCCAAGGCCAGGCTGATGATTCTAGTGGGTACCAGGCAGCAGTGTCTGGGAAGAGGGGCTCATGGGCTTTTGCCACAATCTCCAGTCTGTGTGGGTACAGGTGGCAGATTCTTCCAAAATATGTCTGAGTGGGGGTCTTAATGGCCCAGAGGTGTCCAGAGTTCAACTACCTTTTTTTTTACTCACAATATTTCTTGCTTTTGTTAAGGTCCCACTCAAATACAGCTCTCATTTGTGTAGTCTTATAGATGCAATATAACAGTATTCCCAGATGTAAAATAGGAATCGTCCAAAATCCAAAATACACCAACCAAGTGCTAGGTGTCTTGTTTGGATGTAGGGGTGGGTAGTGACAGCAGTTTACTGTTAGTCACTTGTGGAATATCCCAGGTGCCTTCTGCCCACATTATTCCTATGTTCACTGTTGAGTAGGACCTCGGGCCTTTGCTGCTTTTATTACTGAGCCTTGCTTGGTCATATGTGTCACTACCATGTTCAAATCAGTCCTAACTGGCTCTTATGCTTCTTATATTATAATATCATCCACATACTGTATCACACTGGAGACGTGCATCAAGTCCAAATCCCTCCTGACCAAGTTGTAGTCAGGAGATGGTGGGTTCAGGTAACTTTGACCACAGTAAACATAAACTGAGATTCTTCCGACATGAAGGAAAATTTGGGTTGGCTCTTCTAGAGATGGAGATGGAGAAGAAAGCATTTGCAAGTTCAGTCCCTGAATACCAGCCGCCTTCAGTCTGCTGTGTTTTGTGTATGGTTTAGGGCACTTTTGGAATTGCTGAGGCTTTGAGTGGTACAGTGTTCTTTAAACCACAAGTCTGCTATCGGTGAGCCATTGGCCCTTTCTTAGTCCACGCAGGGCTATTGTACAGTGAATTCTTGGTCACCGGCACTCTAGCTTCTAGCATGTCAGTAATTAAAGCAGGTATTTAGTGATTCAAGTTCACCACCAGTGTGGTCTCAGGTAGAGGGGGAAGGGGACCAAGGAGCATTATGATTAGGACACATAACGAGGTAGGTCTTGGAGGAAGGCAGCAGAGCATGGAGAAGACTGACTAGCATCTTACTGTGCTGACTGACTGCATTGGGGGTGAGGACTTGATAGTACAGGTAAATGTTGAAACCACAGTGTTCACGTGAAACCTTTGTAAGGTTGTATGTCAATGATACTTTAATAAAAAAAAAAACAGGTTTTGAAATCACACTATTGCACTCCCAAACCGAGTTCTAGGAAAGGTCCTTCCCATCCCCCCAGCCATTTAACTAACCCTTGTTGAGATGGCCTCAGGTCCCCGGTTGGGGGTGCGGCCAGAGACCCCACCCCTCTTGTCAGTCAGACTGAATAAACCCGCGTGACCAGCGCCCTGGTGGGTTCATGCTCACGTTTTCATTGTAATCTTGACCTTCCTACTTTTTTAATTCCTCCAAACTGGAGTAGAGTAGACTTCCTTGGGCCTCTGTGATGTTGGGGGGCACATCAGGAGTCCCCACTGGCTCACCCAGTCTCCTGTAGTGCTGCATTAACACCTTTGCTTCAAAGCCATCACTCTGCTTCTTTTGTCCTATTTTTCAATAACCGTCTGAAGGCTTTTATGCCAAGTCTCTTGACTCTCCCCATTTTCTTTAATTACATTAATGCTGTTGATATGGGTAGACCCTCTCAGGGAAGCTAACAGATCCGATAAGGCTTCTCAAACTGGTTTGGTAACGGTAACTTTACATGGGGTGCCTCCGTAACAGGCCCCCTTGATCACAGCATTCGCCATCACCTGAGCGACAGGAATATGCAGTGGGTGAGTGTTTTGGTCATGAAGCCAATCCCACGTGGCCTGCCTACGGAGAATATCAGCCGCCTCATCCGGGTGTTCATTTGGCCTTTTGGGGGGGAGTTGGGCAGCCCTCCTCCACAGGATAAACAGACCTTACAGTGGCTTTTATGCCGTCCACCAGCTGGCTGTTCTCAGGAGTAACGTCCCATGTGTCTGGATGACAGCCAGCTGTGACTGCCCAGTAGTGAGCGATGCGTCCTGCATCAGCCCAAGCACGCTTGCTCTCTGCAGCATTTGAAACCAAAGCCACAGACCCCAAGGGGTTATTCTCACAGTCCACTTTAGGACAGGTTCTGCTGTCAGTGCTGGCAGTGCTGATCCACACTGCGTCCACTGTTCTCGGTCACCTCCTGGCGTTCGCCTCCCCCCGAATTAACTGTCGTCTTTGTGGCCAGAGGAGTCCGAGGCACTTCCTCATGCTCTGTGTGAGATTCGCATTTCTGGGTGGCATTTGGGCTAATGGCCAAAGTTCAGGTTGAACCAATTCGAAGCCTGGTTCAGCATCAAACCCTGACTCGGCTCTTGGATTTATTTTCAGTTTGACTATTGCAGATAACCAGGGAATGGTGTATTTCACTTACTTCAGATTAGTTTGAATTTCATTACATACCCAGTGAGCCAACTCCTTAGGAATTCTGTCCACTGCCATTTTTAAATTTCACTGGTAACTTTTACCATTAGTGATTGATGGCAGTACAGCAGCTCTTTCATACCAATCATGACTAGGTAGCCATCAAGGCATTAATGTTCCCGTATCTCCTGACATTTCATTCTTTCTCTATAGAAGCCACGTATTTCCGTGAGCCTGCATTGGTCCAGCAAATCCCGCTTCTCTGACAGCAAATAGGACAGGGTACCTTAACTCCTCTTGGGTGTCTGGACCAAATACCAGCGTGTCTTGGGGGGCAGAGAGTAGGGTATTCCCACATACACAAGACCTAGAAATTCTCAAATACCAGCAGGGGGTATGATAATTGTGATACTGTGTGCCTGGAGACAGCACCAGATCAATCAGGTCAAAGGCTCCATCCCACAAGACTGCCCTCCACACACCCACCCCCACTGCACATGCCAATTGTAAGACCCAGATAGTCCCATGTGCTTCCGACCTACCAGCTACAGATTGGAGATTCCCATGCCTTCCCCCTAGGGATCAATTAATTTCCTATAGTGGCTCACAGAATTCCGTTTGGGTCGGGTTTACACATTTGTGGGATGCTTACCAGAGACAGAGTGGCTGGTCAGTCATGGGACTGCCAGTCCAGGTTGGGTGGAGAAGAAACACCCATTCTCTCCTCCCCTCGGCTCCTGGCACTTGCCGGTCAGGTGCTCTCCATTCACCAGAAGCCAGCCCACAGTGCTCCCCCGATGTGGGAGGTCAGCCAAGAGAGCAGCCGGAGAGGGATGCTGGGGGGCAGGAGCTTGGGATCCAGGTGAGGGGGTATCCTGAGCAGTGCCCGACACAGCTGCCGTTGTGAGCCAGGAGAAGCTGAGCTGTGAGAATAAATTCTTTCATCCAAAGTGCTTTTGTTTTCATTTGGCCTCATGGAATTCATAGGGAAGGTGTCTCAGGCACAGAATCCCCTCTGCGCAGTGCTACCTTCTTGGTGCAGACAGTGTGATTAGGCAAGACCAAAGGGCTGCCCTCATGAATGGGTGGAAGACACGGGAATCTGTGTAGGGGTTGTGTAGAAACACCCAGGGATCCCTCAGTGGGGATTTCATCTGTGGTGTCTTGCCTTTTAAAGGATTGGGGTCCTCCTTAGAACTGGGGGAGGGATGGGGATGCCTGGGACAGTTGAGTTGGCCTTCTGCAAAATGGGGGACTCCTCAGGGGAGCCGAGTGCCTGTGCAGCAGTGGGAAGTGGGGGTTGGACGTTTGGCACCACTTGAAAGAGTGACTGAGGAGAGATGTACTTTGGCAGGAAAGGGGAGAACCGGAATGCAAGTTGTGAGATGCTATGAGGAAGGAACAGAAGGTATTAAAGACTGAGATAGTGGTGCCGAGAGATGTAGTTATGGCACGGGAATGGGCCATGGGAGAATGCAGGTCGTGATAGGCCATGAGGGAGGGAAGAACGGTTTGCAGACTTCAGCCCCATAACTGGTAGACGAGACATCAGGGGAAGAGCAGCTCGGGAAGGGTGAGGATGTGGGGCCAAGGGCATAGGCGCTGCTGGTGCTGCTGGGACTGGAGTCACTGCTGGAGGCACCAGCCCCTCCCCGGTGAGAGCCTGCATGGTGGTTTTAAAGGAAGTAATGGAACAACAGTGGGTCCCTGTAAGCCCAGGGAGGAAATCCCAGGACAAATACCTCTAAAAACCAAAATCAGTCAAAGGGAGAAATAAAGTTTAAAACCCATTTATTGCTTACAAACTGCAGTCCAGGGCCGGCTCCCCTGGCTCCTGAGGAAGCAAGCCAGCCCCTCCCTTTAAACTCTTAGGTTCAGACATGCCCTTGGTTGCCCTGGTAATTACCCATTGCCATGGAGATGAGCTCCTCTCCAGCCCGAGGATATGCAAATGCACTAAAGCCAGGCGAGATGTTCTGGATATGTTACAGTTTTACCCACAGTACCTCAGGGAGAGATGCAGCCCCTCCCCAGGCTGTGGGGCACTCCATGCTCTGCCCCTATATCCATGCTGAACTGGCGGACTTGAGCTCCCCGATGTCTGCAGGATGCTGCCTTTTGTGCCTTTGGGACTCAGGAGTAGATGGAATTACTCCATCTGGGTGAGAAGCGGGGAAGCCGGCTTCCCTGATGACTCATGCCTCCATCTGACAGAGATTGCCCGGTGCTGCTCAGACCCCAGGGAGCCACAGCATTCTCAGTGGGAAGACTGCAGCTCTCCGGGCCCCGTGGCGTAATCAGGGCGATTTGCTGTCTCCCTCTAGGTGGGAGATGTTTGCTGAACTCCTACAGGTGTTACAGGAATTGGGCTTGAAGAACATCCTTAAAACACGGAGCATCAGGGTCCAGATGAGGAGTTGCTCACCATGGGAATGAGAGTCTGGCGCTACGAACAGCTCCCCCTCCCTCTCTGGGTCCCTAGTGGCTGTTCTTTCTTGCCCCTCACTTAGGGCAGCGCATAAATGAGGTCACTGGCACTGCAGCAGATCCGGGAGAGGCTGAGACAATGAGAGCATGGAAGGAACTGTGGTCTGCTATGCAGAGAAAGGTTTAACAGGTGCTGTGAAATTTCAAGGATCCAGATGTGGCTTGAATTTGATAAAGGGGACAATAAATGAGGGATTAGAAGGGCATCCAGTAAATTCTTGCTAGATCTTTGGCAACAAAGCCAGAGCAGCATTTCCCGCTACTGAGACCCAAGACATGGGAGGTGGAGGCAGAGCCGCGTCTGGCCTGTGGGACTGCAGGGCTTCCTGGGGGGGAGTGCTCCAACCCCACGTGCACCCACACAGGGAGATGTTTGGGCATTGCAGTTTGGGGCGGGATGTGTTGGGCACCAGAGGCCACATATTGAGTTAACAATTCATCAGTTCCCAGTGAATGTGCAACGTGTCCCGGCACCTGTGGACACAGGAGCTGGATCTTCTCTGCCTTTGGCAACCCTGAGCGGTTTCCTGGGGCCCCTGCTGTGACAGATGGCTACAGGGAAAAGGCAATTAGAGTGAAGAGAGCCCAAATCCCATTGGGAATAGGCATCTGCCCCCAGCGGAGTGTCCTATATATATCTCCCATATCTGAATATATTTTGGGGTGGCTATCCTGCAAAGCCTGTAGTTACAGACCACTGCAGGTGAGTTCAGACTTAGAATATGTGTGATAAAGGCAGTTCTGAGGGGACATTCTAAACACCTGCCTATAGTTTTGCCTGTGCCTCAGTGGGTGACAAATACTAAGGAATCTAAATTGCCTGGGGCATAAATAAATTGAAGAAAGTCTTCAAGAGCTGGAGAAGGTGGGCATTATAAAGCCCACTCATAGTTCTTTTAACTCCCTGGCATGGCCAATGAAAAAGCAGGACAGCTCCTGGCATATGAATATGGGTTACAGGGAATTGACTAAAGCCACACCCCCTTTGCACGCTGCTGTTCCCTCTATAGTAGACCTTATGGACACCCTCAGTCATGAACAACGGATGTACCAGTATGCTGCGGACCTTGGTAATGCCTTCCTTTTTATCGACATGGCACAGGAAAGTCAGGAACAGTTTGCCTTCACATTGGAAGGCTGGCAGTGGACATTCACTGTCCTTCCGTGGGGATACCTCCACAGTCCCACCATCTGTTGTGGACTTGCAGCCCAGGCCTTGGCCATGTGGAAGAAACCGCAAGCAGTGTGGCTGTGTCACTACACTGATGAGATGCTCACATCTGATTCTCTTGCATACTTAGCAGGGGCAGCTCCTAGGCTGCTGCAGCTCCTACAGGAGAAAGGATGGGCTGTGGACAGCACCCAGGTTCAGGGACCTGGTTTCTCTGTAAAGTTCTTGGGGTTGTCTGGTCGGGTAAGACTAGAGGTGTCCCAGAAGCAGTCATAGACGAGGTCCAGGCTCTCCCCACCTCTACCACTGTGGCAGCATTACCAGAGGTCTTTGAGTCTTTTGGGCTACTGGTGTGTTTATACCACACTTGGCACAAATTCTGAGGTACTTGCACTGGTATAAAATGGCATCAGGTGGACGGGTTGAGACATGCATCTGCCTTTGCCCTTGCTAAGCAGGTAGTCAAGGCCATGCTGTCCTTGAGGGTAATGGACCCATCAAGGCCCTGTGAGCTGGATGTTATGTAAGTGAATTTGGTTTTAGGCAGAGCCTCTGGCAGTGTCTTAAACCATCCCAACAACCTGTTGGATACTGGTTACAACTCTGGAAAGGAGCAGAGATCCAGTATCTTGATAGAGAAGTGATTGGCTTCTGTGTACTGTACCTTGCTGGCTATGAAGCTCATCTCCGGGGCAGCCCTGACAAAGATAATAATAACCACCTACCCCATTGTGGGATGGGTATGAGACTGGACCCAGAGGCCTCAGAGTGGTGTGGCACGGATGTGTAAACAGTCCAAATGTGCACATACCTACAGCAGCATAGTGCCCTCTCTTCTGGATCCTTGAGTGGAGAACTCCAATGCTGATTGGGGCCAGTGACATTTACCAGTGAAAACCAGGAAGAATTTACTTTACAGCCATTAGTAGCAGAGAGCCCTTATCCGGAGGGAAGAGTCCCTGTACCCGAAGATACATGGTATGCACATGAGTCCAGCCATGGGCAGCCCACAAAGTGGGGGCCTGTGATTTCCCATCCTAAGATGGAGACAATGTGGATGGAGGGTGGGGAAGAGCAGAGTTGCAGGCAGTGTGGCTCAGTGATCCCCCAGGAGCCCTCCCCCGTAGCTGTCTGCACTGACAGCTGGGCCGGCTATCAGGGCTTGACCCCGTGGCTACCGGCATGGTACCGTGGCAGCCGGATTGTTAGTCACCAGCCCCTTTAGGGGCAGGAGTTTTGACAAGACTTATGGGCCTTTCATCGGACTAAAACAGTTACCATACATCATGTGACAGTCCATTTGCCTTTGGCCTTCCCAGGGAATGATAAAGCAGACACACTGGCCTAGGTGGGTTGCCTAGAAGGAAACCCTGCCTCTGATGTGGTCCAATGGTTATATCATCATTTCTTGCATGTGTGGCAAAAGGCAATGTGGGCTGTAGCCCACCCTTGGGGCCTGCCTTTGACCTTTGAATAAGTCAGCAGAGCCCGGAAGGAGTGCCTTGTGTGCTCTAAGAGGGATTTATACGGAGTTCCACAGCAACATGGGAAAATAGTTCAGGGGCTGATAACCCTTGTCAGGTGGCAGGTAGACTGTAAGGCGCCTGTGTCTCTCTCAGAAGGGTATCAGCATTCCATGGATTGTGTGGTCGCAGCTGCTGGACTGTTGCTTGCTCTGCCTACATGTTGTAAAGATCAGCAAACAAACAAAAGGGGCCTAGTGCGTCTCCTTGAAACCTGTGTCCAGCTTCAGGTGACTGAGTGTGCTGAAGGCACCAACTTTACTGGACGTGGATTAAAAGGATGGCTGCAATAATCAGGTGCAAGGTGGAAGCTTCATGTGTCATATAACCATGCTGGGACAGGCATGAAATAGAGGTACACTGGTCATTAAAATCTGGCTTGATGTCAGACAGCAATAGTTTATGGGCTGTTCAGTCCACTTGTGGACAGTGTTGCTGTGTTCGAACGAGAAGTCCCAGAAGCCAGCATTGAGCCCAGTGGACATGCCAGCACACATTGCTACCCCCCTGTATAACTGCATGTACAAATGAAGGTGCAGTTGTTGAAGCCAGGGTTTGGCCACCAGAATAACATCCTGATATCAGCACCAACTGCACTAAATCCTGGAGACTCCATTGAGTGAATGTGGCCTTCGGCTTTTTGACAAAGAGACCGGTGATAGCTGGCCCTTCTCACATCGCACGGACATGGCCAGGAAGCTAGCGTTTGTGTTTCTGGATTGAAAGCAGAATGAACCCCCAAAATAATGGCAGTGTACCCCAAACATCTGAAAGGTAAGGGAATCTTACTGTGGAATTTTGTCTTATCATTGTGGCCATGTGCCTCTCATAGCGCTGCGTACTGACCCATCAGTAACTGCCACAGAGAGAGGGCTGAAGGTCCACTTTACGAAACCTGGATGCGAATCCATTCCTGCCACTTTCCTATCACAGGACTGCTCTCTTGTGTGCACCCTGCCTGACGGACAAGACTTGCCTGTGTTGGTGTCATTAAGCCATGTCTCTTATCGCCCTTACAGTTAATCTCGTCTGCAGTCCTTGTGGATTGGGCCTGCCCCCAGCCAGAGCTGCTGCTTGCTGCGTGGGCCTGGAGATCCCTGCCGTTCCAGCTACTGGCCTCCTGTGGAGTGTGTGAGATACGGACTCAGTCTGAATAGGACTTTGAACTCAGCTGGGTCCTCAAAGCTTGAGGATTGACATGGTTTTCTTGGAATGTTGCTGTGGTGGAATCTGGTTGGCATGCTTTAGCCAACCAGGCTAGATTGTGGCACATAGGAAGATTGTGGGCACATAGACTGTGAGGCAAGAACCCTGGAGGGGTTGATTCTGGGAAATATGGAACATCTGACCAGAATACATGCCTGGCCTTAATAGCACCCATTGTGTGTGTGTGTGTGTAGAATAAGAGCATGTTTGCATATTATGGGATGTTTCCCAGGGACAGAGCAGCTGGTCAGTCATGGGATTGCCAGGCCAAGTTAGGGGTGGAGGGTGTTCTCCACCCCTTCCCAGTCTCGGGGCGGGGCCCAGTCCTCCAGGAGGTAAGCCATGTGGGCCCACATGTCCACTGGGGGTCACTCAAATGTCTCCCATCTGTAGGAGCAGCCGCTGAGACACTCCTTCCACGAGGGCAGCCTGTTCTGCTCCTTGGTCACCGATGAATCCTGCCAACGTCGCCAACTGTCGCCGCTCAGAGCGAGTCTGCACGCAGCAAGCCGCTCTCTGCCTCTGGGCCTCTCTGCCCTCTGAGCCGTCTCATGGCAGAGAACACATGATCCTAATTATGGGATAGGGCCTGTATCTGTACCCAGAAAGTCTTACAGCCATGCTACTTGAGATGGAATCTGAAGTGGCTATGAAACAATGGACAACTGTTTTAGCTCCTGAAGCCCAGGAAACATATTCATTGAAAACTTCTGCTCTTCCCTGTTTATGGGAGGTAATAGAAGGAACCATTGAGTTACACCATTGCTCTCTAACACCACTGGTTCCTAAGTTAAATCAACAAAAGGCCCATCAAGTAGTATGGCTAGTGGGAAGAGGTGCCATGCATGCAAACAACCACATACTTCCAAGGGGACATGATGGACCCTCTTTACAAAAAAATGACACCTCACTTAGATGGGAGCCCATCTCAGACCTAAATTGTGAACAGCGCAAGGGAATTTGGTTATGCCCCCAAAAATATTGGGTTCTAGAGATAATTACAACTTGGCCCAAGGCAAAAACAATGTATGACATATGGGAAGGGGATGGTTTTCTTGGGAAGGAATTGGAAAATCAAACTGTCCATCTACCCGACCACTACTGTGGACAAGCTGAACTTATGTAACAACCGATACACGGTGCAGTACAGAAGTTACAGGAAAATATACTTGCCTGAGGTCAGTAGAACTTGTGAAATTCCTGATATGGATGACTGTGCTTTTGGGGAGCTTGAATTAAGACCCTCAGCCAAGGTCAAAATAATGGAAGATGACTGGCTGGAGGAGAAACTGGCCATAGCCTCTCAAGAACTAAAGGAAGCCTTACAACAAGCTGGGAAAACTTTTCACAGAGTATAGGTGGCTGCAGATGAAGGGGAAAAAGAATAGTTAAATAGATAAAAGAATATGATGTTTGTTCAGTCTCTATCGGATGGTGTTCTTGCCTCTATAATTCTCCGGCGCGCATGGATGCTGTTGAACCTGCGGCCTCCTCTGTAATGGCAAGCACACTGTTCTTGTAGCGGTCTGCAGCTCTGCGGGGTGCGGGAGGAGGCAAGGGCAGCAGAGAGGCTGGATCACGTTACCTAGAAGGCCAGGAATGATTCAGAAGGCAAATTCCGACAAGTCAGTCGGGGAAGGACACGGGTCCAAGGAGGAAAACCAACTCGGCCACATGCTGCCAGGAGCTGCCAACGTATCACGGCCGTGATGGGCAGCTGAGGGCTGCCGAGTGGCCATAGGGGGGCGCTGTGAAATAAAATGAAATCTTATGCACCCCACAGTGGCCCCACAGGAAAGGAGAGCTTTGTGAGCTGCAGGGGCCCTGGGCAGCCAGGACAGCCCTTCCTGTGCTGGGAAGATGCGCTGCAGCCCTTCTCCCCTGGGTCAGCAGGACCGCCGCAGCCCCACGCCCGGGACCAAGAAGGAAGAGGTCCTGAGTGACTAAGGAAACAGAGCCACGTTGGCGTCGGGCTCCTGCCCTTGGTGGGATTCCGTAGGGGGCAAGACTGACCCAAACCCTTGCCACCTCCCGCACACAGACAGCACCAGAACATGCACAGTCTGTACCGTATAGGTCCCCAAACCTAATGTGTCCTTGACACACTGCTTTTCTATACCAGTTAATGTTAACTTCTTCCCTGAACCTATTCCCTGCTATTAACTCATATAAACCATCTTCATGCAGAGTTGGATCAGAACTCTCTGATCAACTGTCATCCTGGGTCATAGCCCTAAGACTCTGAAGAAGCTCTACCTTTCTTTTTCTTTTTGGTATCATTAATGTACAATTACATGAGCAACATTGTGGTTACTCGACTCCCCCCATCACCACGTCCCCTCCACATACCCCATTAAAGTCACTGTCCATCAGCGTAGTGAGATGCTTTGGAGTCACTACTTGTCTTCTCTCTCTCTCTTATATACTGCCTTCCCCGTGCCCCCGCCCCACATTATGTGTGCTAATCGTAATGCCCCTTTACCCCGATACCTTCCTTCCCACCCACCCTCTCCAGTCCCTTTCCCTTTGGTAACTGTTAGTCCATTCTTGGGTTCTGTGATTCTGCTGCTGTTTTGTTCCTTCAGTTTTTTCTGAAGCTCTACCTTTCTTAATGCAATGGCTGAGTGGATTTCAGTCCACACAGTTACACATTCAACTCTTAAAAGTATGTCAATAAAAGAAAAAGTCGTAAATATTTCTAAAGGGGAATTAATGGTAAGTGGAAAACACTGCTTTTCAGTTGCACAAGAAATGTGGCCTATGCATCTTGCCCCCACGCAGGGTCCTGGGGCTCTGAAGACCAGTGTCAGGCACTGCTCGCTGGCAGAATGGCCTCCAGGGATGTGGCAATAGGACTGAGTTTCCCATCACAGACAGTACTTGGGATCCTCGGAAATTTCTCTCTTCCTTCACTCCACTGGCACAGGTTTAGGACCATAGAATCTGATTCTCCAGCAGCCGACTGTAGCCAGTTCGATAGCCCTCCTCTGCAAACAAGTCCCCCAGACCATGGCAGCTTTTGGTTAGAAAGGTTTCCTCAGTGATGTTGGATGCAAGTTAGTTTTCTCTGTTCACAGGAAGGCAGGGGTGCGAGCATCGGCAGCACCTGTCTATTAAGCATCCCAGGCCATCACCATCAGCCCTGGGCCTCCAGGTGGGCAGAGCTGAAATGGAAACTCCAAGCACATTGGGTGTTTTGTTTCCTTGGGCTGGACTTTGGCAATGCTGGAAAATACCACTTTTCTATGTATGTTTCAGGCAGATGGGGCAACACAAACAGCACAGGGACAAAGGACTTAGGATGTTGCTCTGGGGTGGGTAATAGTGAGATCACACCCTCACTGCAGGCAGCATGCTGTCATTCCCTGATGTGGGTGCTCAGGGCTCATGCTCGGGGCCAGCAGCTCCATGGTTCCATCCTGTACAGGCACAAGCAGGGGGTCCACCACACTCATAGTGATGGTCTGCCCCCCAGAGGCTCCCCTGAGTCCACAGCCACTCAAACCGTCCTTGTCCTCGTGGGCACCTTTGTGCCATTTTACACCTGCACAGCTCTTGTCAATAATCCCGGTTGGTGGGTGGTGAGCATCTGCGCCTCCCTCATTTTCACGCTTCCCGACTGGCAGACCCTTATGCTCATGCGTCACGACTCCACAGTGTCCAGGCTCTGTTTTGTCTGCATGAATACAAGCTCCCTTCATCTCATCAGAAATATATAGTTATGTTTTTGCACAGTGTTCTGTTGTTTTTCACTCATCCTCCGACTTGTAAGCACAACTATGAAACAGTCACATACAAGAGAAGGTAAATGGGACAGAGTAAACTTCTGCCCAATTATAGACCATAAAGTCATGACAACTGCACATGAAATGCTACCTAAGCATTATGCAATTACTTCACATAATTTAACTCTTATTAATGTTTGTAGTGGAATAGTTCAGAATCTGGGAAATTATAAAAGAGTTGGTCCTGAAATTGGCTATTATACGGAAATCTTTGAGTGCGTAACTTTCAACTTGACATAATAAATTAGTTCAGAAATTAACTAACCATGGAATTTCTGGAAAAGATCCATGAAAAACGAAGAGCATGCAAGACAGTCATTCAATAAATTGAAAAAAAAAGGAGCACAAGTAGGAATTATTTGTTTGTGGAAGAGGCAGATATGATGTGATTCCACATGTGGGGCATTTCAATAGTCAACCTCAGAAAAATGGGCGATGCTTTCCAGGGACAGGAGAAGAAGGGATGGGACAGCTGTTCTAATGGGTCCTCAGTGTCCTTCTGTAAGATGAGAAATTTCTAGAGGAGCATTGCAGTAAAAGGGAAATACAGTCAGCATGACTGCACTGCACTCTTGAAACTGGATGAGATGGCAAATTTTCTAACACATTCATTGTGACAATTTAAGCAATTGTAAAAATACCTGAAAGACATAGTAATACAACTTTTCAAAAATTACCTTCAAATCACAAAAATTACTTTTAATCATGAAAAGTGTTTCTTTCATGCAGAGAACACCCAACACTCTTCACCTTTATGAGTTCAACTTTTTCAGGCTCAACATATGTGATTTCATACAGCATCAGCTTATTTACTGAACATATCCTGTTCATCCTCATTGTCACAAATGGAAGGATTTCCTTGTTTTTTAAGGCTAGAATATGTATAGTTACATTTTCTTTATTCATTTGATGGGGAGCAGGATTCATGCCCCCAAAACATGCTACTTTGCAGGTGGATTGTTTGAGCTGAAGGCAGTTAGGACCCAGCCAACTCAGAAAAGGTATTTTCACTCACTTGCCTTAGGGGCCAAGGGTGGACAGCCCCCTAATGTGCCACTTTGGGGTATTGATTACTTTGAATGAAAGCTACTAGAGAAAAAGCAGGCTCAAGAGAGACATTCTTTTCCCTCTTCAGTCCCTCAAGAAACCAGGAAATAAATCTCCCGAGGGAAAGATACCCTCCCTGTACCTGAAGGTAGAAGGCCTCCTGATAGCCAGAGACAGAAATTCAGAGCTGAGAAGCCTGCATAAATGTATCTGATTACTTGTTTACTAATATTATACCCCAGCCATTTAGAATTCTTACTAATTTAAGCTCCCAAACAAATTTTCTTTTGTCATGTCAATTTCCCTCAGACTTACTGTCCTTTTGTCTAAAACGTATAAAAGCTGCCTGCCTAGTTTATTTCTTCAGATCTCAATTTCATTATTGGGCCCCAGAACGCATGTAATTATACCTTGGCTTTTTGTCTCCTGTTTATTTGTCTCATGTCAGTTTGATTCTTCAAGCAGGTAGAAAAACCTTGAAGGGTAGAAGACAAACTCTTCCTCCCTTACACTGCCTAAAATAATTTAGAGAGGGGGGCCTGTACCAGGAAGCAACCTCATAGCAGAGATAACTTTTTATATCAGAAAGATCAATCTGCATGGCATGGCAAATAGTGACCAACAACTGGCCCCTCCCATCTTCCTGTGAATTGTCCTCCTGCCCTTTGAAGGCCCAGACTTCTACCCTCCTCTTAGCTGAGGAGGACATATAAACCTCAATTGCTCATGGTCTCTAACCCTCCTGTCTTTGGGGTCCCTGTACTTATGAAATGAAACTTCTTTTTCACCTGTTAACCTCTCTTACATCAGCTGAATTATCAGACCAGCCAAAGACCCTTGGGAAGAAGGGAAAAGTTTCCCTCTGCAAAACATACATCCCAGTCACTAGGAAGACTGGTGAGAACGTTACTGGAGAGAGGTCCTCAGTCTCATCAGGAGAAAGAATTCTGGAATGGACACAAAAAGCAGTTGAGCGTTAAGAGCTTATTTGCAGAATAAGATTTTGAAGAAAAAGTGACAGTACACACCTGAGAGTTAGGCACAGACCCAGAGAGGGATATGCTGAGGACACGATAGGGAGTCTTTTTTATATTAAGAATGTGAATATTCATTAAGCAGGACTAGGTTATAAAGGGAGTAGGTGGGATTTTCTCTGAGTTGGGGCTTGCTGCATCCGCATGTCAGGTGGGGAAGTTTTTGACTATACGTGGTTTTCACTCCAACTGTCCTGGTGTGGGGAGTCCTGATTTTTATTATGTTAATGGCAGAGGGGTGTGAGTTTTACTATGGTGATGAGTGTATGCGTTTTGGGATGAAATCTGGGTCAATTTGTCCATGTTGGAACCGGCTGGTTTTGGCGGGTCTGTTATCTAGAGTCTTGACCCCCACACCCTGTGGGAACAGCTTACCTGGACAGAATGTGCAGAATGTAGGCATCCCCCCCAATGTAACCACTGGTGGAAGCTCCCCTCCCCACCTCTCTGTCTGACTATTTACCTTCTCTAACAAGATACTTAATATTTTATACGGAGGAAACAGTATGTTCTAGAATGGCCAAATTTTTTTAGAAACTCTGACCACACCAAATTTGTGAG